TGGACAAAATTCCTACCAGGCCCCTGCCTCAAAGCAGAAGACCCCATGACAGGCATAGCCAGGTCAAGCGAACCCCCAATACAGGGAGGGTGGGCGGGTGATCCGGTGCAAGCAGCCAAGAGGACGCCCAAAGTTGGGCGACCAATATTTAAAACCTCTGACCCCTCCTTCAAAATTGGCAACAAGCAATTCTCCCCAGCGACCCAATTAACCAATTCACTGCCTGGGTCACTCCGCAAATCCGCCCAGCAACACTGGGGTGGCTTGTATCCCCCACCGCAACAGGTGCTCTCTGCTAGGGAGAACACGTTTTGCCAAGTTCACTCAGGACATCAGGAGCAGGGGGCAGATGTTTTGTTTTCGTAAAAGGGGAAAGAAGAAGTGATTCACAGCTTCACAGGTCATGTTTCGCAGTGGAACGTCAGCCAAATGGAGTAAATATTGTTCTTCATCACCCACCTTGTTTTTGCTGAAGGACAGAATCTGAAAACCTTAGCACAGAAGACGGCTAGGTAAGAAAAATTAAATCTTCCTGCTATATTTCTGACTTTATATTAGACCATTTCCCAAAGAACACTTGGATGGGAGGCGGCAGGAAGGGGGACTGACTTCTTAAATGGCTGTTACTACAAGGCTAGATTAATACAGAATGTCCAACATGGCACATGTGTAATTTACATGAATACCAGAAAATTCAATATGATTAGTGGCATCACAACAAACACAGCGTGACTGTAGCACACTTCCCATCATTGCAATTATCTTCTGAAACTTTTAACGGGAAAGCTGATTGCTATTCACTTGCTTATTCACTCCCAGAAAAGTGGAATGATGAACAGATGCCAAGAGTCAAATATTGACTGCACAAGGTCTGTGTGCGATGCAGAGTTGAGAAATGAACAAGAGGTTGAACAAGGAAGGACATCCTCTCTAAAGACTCCATCCAAAACTATTAAAGGGGCCAGCTTTGCCAAAGAAGCATCATCCTTACAGGGAGCGCATATATGATTGTGGCAGGAGGTGGGGAGAGTGTTTGAGAAAGTTTCAGAAAGGTGCACCATGCCATAAAAAGCTTGGGATGGAAAACAAACAGAATTCATTTTTCTGAATCCGAGTTAGGCAAGGCATTTGATTCAGAGCTGCAAGATGATGTAGAGCACTGAACAGTTTTCTAAATGAAAAGTTTATATATATATGCTACACACACAAAACAACAACAACAAAAAACTCAGCTAGATTGGTAAATAAAAAGCGTTTTACAGTGGTACCTCGGGTTAAGTACTTAATTCGTTCTGGAGGTCCGTTCTTAACCTGAAACTGTTTTTAACCTGAAGCACCACTTTAGCTAATGGGGCCTCCCGCTGCCGCTGCACCACTGCCGCTGCACGATTTCTGTTCTCATCCTGAAGCAAAGTTCTTAACCTGAGGTAATATTTTTGGGTTAGCGGAGTCTGTAACCTGAAGCGTATGTAACCTGAAGCGTCTGTAACCTGAGATAGCACTGTATATATGTTGTATATGTGATATAACTCTGTGACATCAGATGGCGATGTGGAGTCTCGTTTTTCCCTACTGGATTTCCCTGTATGAGTTTACAGCGCATTTAACTGAATTGCTTCTTTGACATGTCTCGATCCAGCTGGAGAGAGAGAGAGAGAGAGAGAAGCCAGTGCTCAAATAATGGGAGATAAAGGGTACAGGGAGGCCCTTAACAAAAGTCACCCACCCACCAAATTGTAGCTAATCGTGTTTCCATAGTCTTCTAGAAACAGTGGCTAAGGGAGTCATCTCAAAAGATAACGGGGTCTGGCCCCACTCCTATCCCTCCTGTCATTCAAGCTCTGTGAGGAGCTCTTTTGATAACTCTGCATGGTACTGGGGAAGGCTTCTTATCCCAATATTCCTAATGGTGTTGAGAGAGGATTTCTCACCCAGGAGCTATTGCTGTTGCTTATTATTAGCACCATTAACATTGAGTTTGTCTAATTTCTGGCATTGCGGCAGTGTTCTTACTTAAACATATACTCTGGCTTTATTGCCAGGAGAGCAATGAGTCCCATAGTTCTCGGGATGCTGGCAACATCTGCCTAAAATCATAATGGAGGAGAAGTGTTTTAGCAATTATAAAAGGAGGTTGTGGCCAGTGAAATTAAGAGAGTATGCAGAATGCAGCTTATGTCCCCAGCAAATTACATCCAAATTATACTGTCGGAAAGACAATCGATAAAATTAAACATTATATTGCAAATTTAGTTTCAATTAGCAAATCAAATAGAACATTGTTCTCTGGACCGCTCTGGCAGATTGGGTTTATCTTAGAGGTGCAGTCTGCTAAATTCTCTCTCGGTCAGTTTATTTTAAGTTAGTCACTTTTCCAAGGTAGCAGCAGGGAATCTGTGGCCCTCCAAATGTTCTTATACTCTCAGGTTCCCAGCCAGCAGGGCCAATAGTCACCCGAGAAGAAAGGGGCTGTGGCTCAAAGGGGCTGTTCTCATTACCGGCTACGTGAATGGTTCTTTTCTCTTGCTTCTATGCTGCATCTTGTATTTTATTTTATTTTCTAAAATTGCATGATTTTTCTTAAATTAGGAAGAAACAAATGAGCAAAACTGCGCTGTGGGTTCCCTTGCATTTCTCGCTGTTCTTGCTTACTCTCCCCAATACAACTCAGGACTCCTTGAAGAATTCTGACTCAGTCTGGTTTTCCTTGGGTTTCACCAGTCACCGTCGGAGCACTTTGCAATTGCTAAGCAAATGGGGGTTTCTGAAATCATGAACTAGATAAGCTTCTTGCCTTTCCTTTCCAAGGAATGACAAATGCATGAGTAAGTGTCTGTCAGCGTGCTACAAGATTTGGCTAAGGCAAGTCTCATCCCAGCAGCCCATTTCATAGACATTTGATAGAAGCAGCCATTTTGGCTTCCACAAGCAGTCTGGACTGTTCTCTCCAATTCTGCAGTTTTCTTAATTAAAGTAATACCTTCTTCCAGTAAGAGTCAAAACTGAAAATGTTACGTCAGGGAAAACTTAATCACCCGGAGCAATGGTGGGTGTGTTTGGGTTTCTGTTTGTTTGCTCGTTTAAATAGAGATTTAAATGGAATTGTTCGAGCCAGAAAGGACTGGAAGAATTTCACCCAGTACGGTTGTTTCCACCAGAGTGTTCAAGTGATGGGAGAAGCCCTGCCTGGAAGAATTTTCTTACTTAAAGCTATGGAGGAGAGGAGTCCTTTCAATATCTGAGACCTGGATTTGATGGAGAGGAAATATATGAGAACTGGCAACTCTGTGTTGCCTTCTTCTTCTTGTTGTTTAGTCGTGTCTGACTCTTCATGACCCCATGGACCAGAGCACGCCAGACACTCCTGTCTTCCACTGCCTCCCGCAGCTTGGTCAAACTCATGTTAGTAACTTTGAGAACACTGTCCAATCATCTCATCCTCTGTCGTCCATGGGGTCATGAAGAGTTGAACACGACTAAACGACTAAACAACAACAACAACAGCAGAAGGTGTTCACACTTTGGTTTAGAGACGAATTAGGAACAGCTTAAGAACGCAGGTTGGCGTGAAGCTGGTTTGAGAAACAATAAATCAGACAAAGTACAAGACGCATATGCATTTTTATAACATCATGTGAACATAGGTTAAAACCCCAGCCCTAGATACACAGTGAATGGGAATGTGAACACAACCAGAATATGAGAAGGCTGGTAAGCCTTTTGTTTTCAAGGTCTACCACCGGAGCTGAAACTCCTTTCATGAATGCAGAACAGAACACTCTGATTAAAAACCAATTAGTAACAGTCTAATTGTATAAAAGTACAAATTAATCTATCAATTCTGACCTAATTTAAATGAGGGTTTAATTGGGTTATCCAAACACAGGCACCTGGGCCAATCCCACAAGCTTTGCAGAAATACCCAGAACTCTCAAAGAAATACATTTGCAACATGATCTCTGTGTGAAAGTGTGTACGTAGCCCTCAGCCTGAGCATATTTGAGAATCTTAAGTAATGGATTTAATGCTCGTAGTTCCCATGTGGGAGAAAGAAGCATTATCAGTTTTCTTAGACAGTTAGGCAGTAAGAATTAAAGGAAGAGGGCCCATTAAGAGCTCTAGCCAGGAGCATCTTCGTTTGGGCCAGCCAAGTGTTGGATGCAATTTCTCTCCAACCCACGGAGTTTCCCCATTAGATCGTTCTGCTGGGGTGGGGTAAGGAGGCTTTCCGCATCTCAACATCCTGTTGATGAAACAGAAATTTTCCTTACCATGAATTTCTCTGAGTCTCCTAAACAAGAGTTCTTAACATCAGGATAATGCCTTCCACCAGAGCACGCTGGGAAAGCCAGTCTTCCATTCATTTCTTTCTTCAGGCTTAGTGCTCAATAAACAGCACAGCAATGCAGTGCCCAGGAAGACAGACCACAAATATGTCGTGGGAATCTGCTACTCTGCCTAAGTTTAGTTTGTCTCTACTATCAATATCTTTCAGGAAGCGGGAAAGGGCATGGAGGGTGGGTGGAAAGTTTCTGTGTCTCTTTCTTCCCCAGATGGAAAAGGATGTGCAAATTTGTGTAGAAATTAGCCTGGTTTTAGCTACAAAGGTCAATTTTGCATTTTTTGCTCTGCCCACTTTTGCCCCCGGCCCTGCACACCGCTGACCTGCAGCCCCCAAAAGCTTGCCCAGAAGGGAATGTGGACCTCAGGCTGAAATAATTCCCCCACTTCTGATTTAACCCAACCTCCTGTCAAAGATTATCCCTCAGGAACAGCTCCTGAGTGTGAGAATGCTCCATTTGTATCCCCCAGGGCAGGTGGGTCCTTTGAAGCTGTTCACTCTTCAGGGCAGCAGTGCTTCCGTTGCCTCATTAAGGTGAAGGAGAGGCAGCCGCTTAAGAAATGAAGGAGCCTGGAAGCTGCCATAGGATCAAGGAATCGTAGAATTTTAGGGCTCCTGAGGGTCTTCTAGTCCAACCCCATGCGACGCAGGGATCTTTTGGCCGATGTGTGGCTTGAACCCATGACCCTGAGATTAGAAGTCTTGTGCTGTACCCACTGAGCTATCCATTTAGTTCTTAAAGCGTTGGCTAGTCCTCAGGGCGGCCATTTTGCCCTTGTCACAGTCCAACCCTGCGCCTCACAAGAGAAGAGATGGCTGCTTCTCGGGAGAATAGGGGGACAGAGATGGAAACATATTGCTCAAAATGAATCAACTTCACACAGGGCAGTCTAAAGCATACCCTCCAAAAATCCACCAATCAAAATTGGGGTGCGTGTGTTTCAGTGCCACATTCCCATGCGAGCCAGCTGGGACTTCCCCAGACCCTTGCCTCCGTTACCAGAAGCAGCTCGCTCAGCGAGTGCCGAACCGGTATCTCCAGCTTCTCCTCCTCTTCCTCTTCCCCACGGTCATCCTTGTCTTTGTCATCTTCTCTGGCAGGGTGGCATGGAGCAGAGGAGGTGTGGGGCATCTTGGCCCAGTGGGAGCAGCCTGGCCTGGGACACCAGCAGCTTCTCCTCCACCACCTCCATGGGCTCTGGCTTGGCTGCCTTCCTTCACACGGAAGACGCACATCTTTTGGTGCCAGGCTCCAGCTGACTTGTGCGAGAGCTCAGCACTGGAAATGGGACAGCCTCGTTGCAGGGAAGCGTTGCAGGCACTGGGCTGATTAACCATCTATGTCCTTTTAAATGCGTTGCTTAAATGGGGGTTATCAGTTTGTTTTGTTCTTGTTTTTTTTATTATGTTCTTTGTGGTTTTGTTCTGTGTATTTTTTTATGCTGGGAAGCACCCTGAGATCGTCGGATGAAGGGTGATGTCCAAATTTAATAAATAATCAGAGCCAGTCCCTAGAGTTCTGCATTGGAATTCTCTTTTCCAGACTCCCCAGTGCTCTCACAGGTCCTAACAATCAGTATATATGTCCCTTGATAATGATTATTAGAAGTAGTAGTAACAGCAGCATTATTATTGGATCTCTCTGTGTGTGTGTTGTTTGTGGTTCTGATGTGGCAGGCCACATAATGCACATAGTCTGGTCTTCACATGTAGGCTGTTGTGCAAGCCTAGACTGCAGTCCTAGACCCACTTATCTGGGAGGAAACCCTATTAAGTGCCATAGAATAGCACCATTGGTTATATGCAGCCACCGTCCAAATGCTAATATAACTTATATGCAGAATTCATCATGCGAAAGGCTGGAGTGGTTGAATCCCAAGCCGGAATTAAGATTGCCGGAAGAAGTAACAACCTCAGGTATGCAGATGACACAACTTTGATGGAAGAAAGTGAGGAGGAATTAAAGAACCTATTGTTGTTGTTGTTGTTTAGTCATTTAGTCGTGTCCGACACTTCATGACCCCCTGGACCAGAGCACGCCAGGCACTCCTATCTTCCACTGCCTCCTGCAGTTTGGTCAAACTCATGCTGGTAGCTTTGAGAACACTGTCCAACCATCTCGTCCTCTGTCGTCCCCTTCTCCTTGCGCCCTCCATCTTTCCCAACATCAGGGTCTTTTCCAGGGAGTCTTCTCTTCTCATGAGGTGGTCAAAGTATTAGAGCCTCAGCTTCAGGATCTGTCCTTCCAGTGAGCACTCAGGGCTGATTTCCTTCAGAATGGAGAGGTTTGATCTTCTTGCAGTCCGTGGGACTCTCAAGAGTCTCCTCCAGCGCCATAATTCAAAAGCATCAATTCTTTGGCAACCAGCCTTCTTTATGGTCCAGCTCTCACTTCCATACATCACTACTGGGAAAACCATAGCTTTAACTATATGGGCCTTTGAACACCTTTACATAGAGTAAAAAATATCCCCTCCTGGTCAACATTCTCTGGTGTGCACACACACAAAAATGAATCTGACCCTAATGAAGTTTTGTTGATGTGAACAACTGGGGGAGAAAGCTGTGAGACACACTGAAAAAAGCAACAAATTCACTGCTCTCCTCGATAATGTGAAGGGACCCTTAGTTGCACTGGACTTCGTATTGTTGGCAACCATTTGTCTCAAGAGACAATGGAGTGTGCCTCCGGGGGTGAAGTCAAACTGCTGCGTTAGCATCACCAAAGTGACCTCAGGGTGCAAGCCTGGGCACTGTGTATGGAGGTCCTGGGCGGCCCAGACCCCATCTTAGCCTCGCTGATATGGTCAAAGGAAAGCAGGACAATATGTTTGGCACCAGCCTGGCTGCAGGAGTTGCTGGAAGGAGGCATAGAAGCCAGCCTCCAATCGGCTTTAGGACTCCAGATTTGTGTAGGGTTTACTCCTTAGCCTTTTCTCCTCCCAGAGATATCCCACAAGGCAGCAGAGGTTTAGGATCAGAGTTTTCCTTCTCCTAGATGGGCTGCGATCCTGTGCAGATTTACTTGTAAGTAAATAATGGGCAAATGAGATCAGAGCAGCAGGTGTAACTCTTAGCTTTCTGCAGAAGGCTACATTCCAACCATGCAAAAACCAGAGCTTTGTGAATCCCTACACTTTAAAAAAAAATTAAAATAACCTTTATTATACATCAATTAATATCAATTTATATATGACATAACATTTAACTTAGACAATACATACCATATACACTACACACACTACGACATATACACACCCTAAACACTAACGTCCGATTCATCTTATTGTGCTATTTTACATTTGGTTAGTCTATACACATTTCTTTATTATTTTTCTTTTTCCCATTTGTTATCAGGAAGATTTTCCTATATAGGGTACTTTCTCTATATTTTGGAATGTATTTCAAGATTCATTCTAAGTCTGCCAGGAGATTAACATTGTCACAGCAGTTTTTAAGATACTCTTTAGATATTATCCAATCTTTATTGACTTTCTGTATAGAACTTCCTCTTATTCTCCCTGTCATCTTTGCGAGTTGTAAATATTCTCTCATTTTGGCTTGCCAGTCCGTTTTAACACACACCTCTCTAGCCAGGCAAGCAATGCAGTTTTCCCCAGGTAAGTGTGTATTGGACTGCATCCCATAAACCAATGCAGCAATATCAGGCATAACTCAATACTTCACGTAGCAAAAGTAATGCAATTCTACTTTCACACATGAACACCTTTTACAGCTAACTGGATCAAACATGTGTAAATTAGGTACAGTCAAGCTAATATTAAAAGTCTCCTCAAGGGTCTGGCAAAATTCTTTGTTAAAACGTAGAGAGAATTTACTCGCCTCGTTTAAGAAAATCCCATTAAAGATGAAGTCATCGTGCAAAGACTTTTTTTTTATAGTTTGTACAGCCCCTTAAATAGAGTGGGCAATAAAACAGGGCATATTACAACTCGGTGACACTGAATGATGGCTGCTGACTTTAAATCAAGGAAATGTTAACATTGCCAGCAGGGCCCAAGTAGCCTTCTGGGTAGTGTAGTACGGAAAAGGCTTTGTGTGTCAAGCCCTGCATTTTATTCTTTGACTCTTCAGGGCTTCAGGAAGTGGCCCTTTTCGTCACCGGCTACTTGATCCTTTCAGTTGGCAATGCCAGGGACTGAACCTCAGGCAACGCATGTGCTCTACCATTCAGTTATGGTCGGCATCCCACAAAACTGTTGAAAAACGCACATGGCAGCCTAGAGCAGCTTCTGCCTTGTGACTTTCTAAGCCAAAGGTCCCACAACAGAGACCCTTGTATTCCGAGAGAGCGCATGATACGGTCACAAGTTGGAAATGTTATGGGTCAAATGTATTCCCTGTTGTGTGATGGCTGGTTCTCAGCCAGAGAGCTCTTCAAGAGAGTCATTAAATAATATAGGAAAGATGACTATACATAAGTAACTAAGCAGAAACATATGGGTTCTATGGAACCAATGGCATTTGGGGGAAGGACATGGGTAGAGCAAAAATATGCCGTAGTTGTGCATGTCTTGGTCTTGGCAATGAACAAGGGGATATCCCAGGAAAAACCTCGTTTTCTTTCCCAAGAAACATCCAACGGTAGCCTCCAACATTTTCAAAACTGTGACTACTTTTAATTCCAACCTGAGATATGGGACTAGTCCTTTGCTTGATTTGAAATTGGGCTCAGCAACCACCAAGGGAGGAAAGTAACCCGGGTTTCCCCCCAAGTCCAATTTTGAAATTCAGAAACCCCATCACACATCCTCAGAAGTATGATCCCCACCCCAACCTCCCTTGCAATCCCTCCAAACTCTGCACCCCTTCTCAACTACCTATGCCCTTCACCCAAACTAGAGATGGTGCCACTAACAGCAGCCTCTTTGCAAGACTTCGATTTACTTCCTGGTGCCTAGGACACAGAGATATGCACTTTTTCATGGAACCTGAGCAAGTCAGCCAGGATGTCAGGTTCCCTGGGTAGTGTCCATATCAGGGTCTCTTGTGCCCGGGGTGCTCTTCTTCCCTTAGCAGGGTCCCAGGTGGAAAAAAACACAGCAACACATAGGAACTATGGAAAACTACATGTCTGTGGGTCCCTTACGAATCTGCACATACCCAGAAGCTTATTCTCTGAAACAGAGAAGAGATCCTTGAGGGTATGGCAGCCATTTTATATTGCAGTGCAGTCTGACATTACATCTCCATTTGGGACCTGCATTTATTTCCCCCTTTTTTACTGGAATATCAACTTTTCTCCTGTCTGGTTTTCCCCAATTACTCTGCCTCTCAGTCACTCTCTTTCTCTTTTCCTAACAACAACCACAACCACAACAAGCACCTTGCGTGGTGTAATGGTTCTAGGGGTTGCTCGTGCGTAAGCCAGTGCAAACACCTGGCTGGATTGCCTGAGTGAACCTTTTCTGTTCGGACAGCCACTCACCCGTGGCTGTCTCAATCGCTGGCAGAATCCGTCAGTGGGCGTTTCTTAAACTTCTTCCAGCAAAGAAGCTCTTTGACGCCTAGTCTCCTCCTACTCTCTCTGCGCGAAAGCCTTCTGCACAAGGAGGGCGTAGGCAGCGGAGGACCCCTACTCTCCCCGCTGGTCCCCGACAAGGAGTCATGGGACCGCCTCGCCGCTTCCCCCATCTGCCCCCCTTCTCCACTGGTGCTACGCTGATTCTCTTCCCCAGAAGATGGGCTGCCTCTCCCAATCCCGGGACGCTCTCCGGAATCCCTCTGGATTTTGCTCTCTCCCTCCGGCACTGATGGCAGTTCCCTGACACGTGGGTTGCACTGAAGGATCCAGAGCCATTTTCTTTTTTGTTTGACTGAAAGAAAATGACTCGGGAAACTTCAGTGAAACCCATCTTAGGTCGTGGTCATCCAGCAACTGAAAAGCAGTGAAATAAAGTATGGAAGGCTTCAAAGTCACTTGCCATCTTTCTAAGATGAAGAAGTTAAATGTGTAATGATTCAATGGGCAAGAGATTTTGGATATAATATACAGTTGGCAGCATGGGAAAAATTATGGAAAGAAGACCTAAAATTTACGACGTGTTATACGCTGAAAGAAAACTACATGAAGATGATGTACCGTTGGTATTTAACACCTGGTAAGTTAGTGAAATTGTATAGGACTAACTCAAATGTATGGTGGAATTGTAAGGAAAAAGAGGGCACCTTTTATCATATGTAAAAACTGGAAAAAGATTAAGGAATTCTGGGAAATGATATATAATAAATTAATTTTTTTAAACAAAAAACAAAAAACTTTTGTTAAAAGACCAGAAGCCTTTGTCTTAGGAATTTCAGGTGCAGATATACTGAAGGATTTGAGAAGATTATTCATGTATGGGACCACATCTGCAAGGATGCCGCTTGCCCAGCGATTGAAAGAGGAGAAGATGCCGACAAAAGCAGACTGGCAGATGAAACTACTAGAGTATGCAGAGATGGCGAGACTGAGAGGGAAAATCAGAAATCAGGAGGATCAAAACTTTAATAGGGAATGCGACAGACTGTACTTCAAAAAACACTGTAATCACTTAAGTTCTTTGGCAGGCTTTCCGTGACTCTTGCAATATTACAAAGACTTAGACATTTCGGAGGACTATAACGTGGAGGAATTATAATATGCAGTTGATTTAGATATACAAAGGACCCACGGAGGGGAGGAGGGACGTCCAAGGATTTGGAAGAATCTTGTTAGATTTCAAAAATTAAATGTGAGATTTATTTTGTAAAAACCAATAGAAATTATTTCAAAAAAACAAAGTCCCTCTTCTTCCTTCTTGGTTCATGATTCTTCTCTCACAACCTTCAAACCTTCAGCTTGGTTTTGTTTCACATGTGTGATTTCCTTTCATCTTAGAAGGGCAACACCGTTTGCTGCTGCTGTCCAGATGTTGGGGTGGGCCATTGCCAAGTCTCCGGCTCTCGACAGACATGCGCTGGATGTGGCAAGACTATATAATTGACCCCGGGTCCACGTTTGTGTTCTTTCCCTGGCTGCTGATACGCCATTTGCTGACTGATCTATTCTCCTGACAGGATCCTTGAGGGAGTGATGTGTAAATCTCGGTGCCAGTCAAGCCGCCTTGTGATATTACTGAAACAGAGAAGCATATTTCAGCCTTTAACTTTGGAGACAAGATCATGACACCACATAAAACACTTGGCGGATCAGAACCTCCTCAGCTTCCATACCGTAGATGGGACACAAAAGGCTCCTTGATGCACATATGAGCAATCTCAAGGCTTAGGAAGATGGTGATGGGAGGAAGAAAAGGGGGAAAATCAAAGCAGCCTGGGCTGCTCTTATCGATTCAGTCCACAGTTATGAAACACATGCATTCCAAGTATAAAGAGGGATATTAACCACAAAACCCAAAGACGGGTGAAACATTACAGTGTGGACTATTTCCACCTACTGCATCCTGAGATTTCTTCTAATAAAATTGTTGACAAACGTGGATTAATATTTGGTGCAGCCATGAGATGTCAGGAAATAAAATTAAGATCAACCTTAATTTAAACCACAGAGCCTAGGACTTGCGGATCGGAAGATCGGCAGTTCAAATCCCCGCGAGGGGGTGAGCTCCCATTGCTCAGTCCCTGCTCCTGCCAACCTAGCGGTTCGAAAGTATGTCAAAGTGCAAGTAGATAAATAGGTACCGCTCCAGCGGGAAGGTAAACGGTGTTTCCATGTGCTGCTCTGGTTTGCCAGAAGTGGCTTAGTCATGCTGGCCACATGACCCGGAAGCTGTACGCTGGCTCCCTCAGCCAATAAAGCGAGATGAGTGTCGCAACCCCAGAGTCGGTCACGACTGGACCTAATAGTCAGGGGTCCTTTTACCTTTACCTTACCTGCACTGTTATGAACCTGCTCAACCTCTACTATAGGCTTCAGAAGCCCTGCTCTCTGACTTGTAGGTAGGAGCAGGTCCCAGGGACAGGGCCTTTTCTGTGACTGCCCCATATTTAATAAATGCAATCCCCTCTGAAGGATGCATAGCCCCTTTGTAAGTTTTTTTTAATACTCTCTGTAATGTTTGTATGTTGTTCTGGCTTTTATTTTTTATTTTTTAATTGCTGTGTCTTACTGAGGTTTTCGGTAATCGTGAATTTTATGTTTTACAACTGTTTTTATATGTTGCCTTGAAACAAAAGGGAAGATCTAAATCTTTTATTCATTTATATAACAAGTGGCAGCGAACAAAGCAGTGAGTGATTTGCAAGGTATGATTTCATTTTATCAAGTATACTGCAAATTAGATGTAACTGTAAATTAACACAAAAGCTTTAACACTTCATAAATAATTTGCTTTCTCCCCTGTACATGTAAACCACCCCCGGCACTTATTGTCAGTCCAGGTATATGACAGGGGTCAGGGTTACAACACACTTCTTATTCTTTTTTAATTGTTCTTGACATCCTAATATATTTGCTGCTTGTTTTAAAGGAGTGCAACGGTAGATTTTCAATTCTAGATTCTGCATGTTTTATTAATGATTTGTGCAACATCTTGTTGGGATCCTTATCCTGAAAAGTTGGATGTTCAATCAAATAAATGTTTCTGATCAGAGCTTGGTGTTAGGGTGAGATTAAGACTGTAAAATGCTTGTATCCTGAAATTTTGAAATAATTCAAAATCATGGCTTTTCTTCTTTCCCCTTCCTCTTCCCTCCTTCCTTCCACAAAGCATACTGAATTTATTGACATTTTGTTCCGTCCCATGATGTAGTTACTATTGGAATGGCAAACTGTGTGCTGATGTCTATATAGGGCAGAAACTCAGTCCTGGCACTAGCTGAAGATTGTACAGCCTTCTGCATTAGCTCACACAATCAATGTTACTATTATATTTAAACTTATGAGGTGAAAATTCTACAGCACACTGTATCATAATTGGCCTAATGAATGGGAGCTACAGTCTTACCCTGGAATAAATCCAATTGGATTATCCATATAATCACCTCCAAATGACTCCTCGCTCATTATGACTCGAACAAAGTAGGATTATTTCCTCTTAATTGCTTAAGATTATGATTAATTACCAGTTTCTTTTTAAAGCAATTTTGTATTAATTTAAAAGCATAATAACAAAAGATTAAACGTATCAAGGAGTCACAAATATCCACTCTGAACTCCTCTGCAGTGACAAGGGAGCAGCCCACTGTATTAGACTGATGGGTTCGGAAGCGTGTAAGATACCTCAAACTTCTCGTGTTCACAGCTTCGGCACAGCTCTGTGTTCAAGCTCCTTTCATTTCTGCGAGGTTTCTAGCAGAATTTGCCTGGGGTTTTCCCCCTAATTACTTGCCTCTTTGGCTTAAACCCAAAGAGCTGAGTATGGTAGAAGCCCTTTGATGAAAAGATGCGGAGAAGAAAAAGGAGCGAAGGGGCCATTCATGTGTAAAAAGCCCATTCAAGGACATTGCTGTCTTTTTTTTAAAAAAATCTTTTTTATTGAGTTTTACATTGCAAATTTAAATTCATTTAGGATTACCTGAATTCTTTGACTCCCCCACCCCCCACTTCCATGGTTACCCTTATCATTTCCCCCCCAACTGCTTCACTTATTTCCTCGATTTTCCCCAAATAATCCATTTTTACCATAATTTTTAGTACATTACAAGCGTTACTCAAATCCTGCCAAAGTTTTTAGTTGTTTACATTGTTCTCTTAATTACATTGTAAATTTTCCCCAATCCTTCTTGAAGTTCTTCTCTTCCTGGTTTCTAATTTTTCCTAGTTGTTTTCGCCATTTCGGCGTAGTCCATCATCTTCATCAGCCCTTTGTCTCTGTTCAGGACTTTATCTTCTTTCCATCTCTGGGCCAGTAGTATCCTCGCTGCTGTCATTGTGTACATAAATAATCGTTTCTGCTCCTTTGGTATCTCTGTACCTAAAATTCCTAATAAAAAACCCTCTGTTTTCCCCACAAACGTTATTTTAAACATTTTTTTCCAACTTATTATAAATCATTTCCCAGAATGCTTTTGTTATCTTGCACGTCCACCACATATGGTAGAATGTGCCTTCCTTCTCCTTACATTTCCAACATACCGTATTTTTCGCTCTATAGGACATACTTTCCCCCCTCCAAAAATGAAGGGGAAATGTGTGTGCGTCCTCTGGAGCGAATGCAGGCTTTCGCTGAAGCCTGGAGAGCGAGATGGGTCGGTGCACACCGACCCCTCTCGCTCTCCAGGCTTCAGGAAGCTATCCGCAAGCCTTCGGAGTGCGGTGGGAGTTCCTGCCGGGCTCCGAAGGCTTGCGGATAGCAGCCTGCAGCCCGAATTTTTTCTTTGCTATAATTTTATAGGTGTTAAATACCACCGATACATCATTTTCATATAGTTCTCCTTCAACGCACAGCATGCTGTAAATTTTAAGTCCCAGGACATTGCTGTCCTTTGCCCCTGAAATCAGGTGGTGACAACTGGACCTGCCTGCTATGTCCCTTGCCCTGTTTCTGCTCCAGAGTGGAGCTTGAGTCGACATAATGTATTCTTCTAGCAACAGCCATGTGTTGTGTGTGGTTGTCTTCAGAACCCAAACATGTGAGGATCCATCTGGTTAGAAGGCCTACTCTATAATATGCCCCAATCACGCAGTGTCTCCTCACATGAGCAGCACAGGGTAGATAAAATTAAATGATTTTTTTAAAAAATTAAAAAATTGGATTTTTAAAAATTTAAATTAGATTTTCTTGATTTAAATCGGATTTTTAAAATAAAATGCTTTTGGAGGAAAAATCTTTCTAAAGATAGTTTTCTATTTAAGTTACATTATAGTCCAAAGGCTATTCAACAGGAAATAAGGATTTTTTAAAAGTTTTTCATGTGTGCTCAAATTCAGTCTAAGTTTTATTAAAAACGACAACAACACACGTTTAACCACATCAGTTAACAAACATGGATACATATGCTATAATGTTATTGCTTTAGTCCAATAAATTCTTTAAATTGTTATTAAGGAATTGGTTATTTTTCTCCTTCCAATAAAGTACAGCAGAAAAGTTGCCCCAATATAAACAGTTAACTTATTAAACCTCACAATAATTTCATAATTATCTGTCTATGTATTTCTAATAGTATAACCAAAGAGTAATTTTTGATATAACTGTAAAAACAAACTACTCTGAAAATGTATTATTCCAAAAATGAAACCTTCCTCTGGTTGTAAATATAAAGATTATACCAGCAAGAATGAGTCTTTCTGTAAAAAAATAGATTGAAATCAAGTTTTACTGACTAGTGATTTAAATCATGTCTTGCTGACTAGTGATTTAAATCGTGATTTAAATCGCTTTGATTTAAATCAAATCCACCCTGGAGCAGCAGCTTGTACATTCGGGTTCCTCTGCAGACAACTGTGTGCGACACACAGTACTTTGAGGAAGGAGTTGCGACCCTGAAGGCTGTAATACCGTTTGCAAATAACATGTGAATAGAGTTCCCATCATGCAAGCAGGATTTCCTCTCCCTGCAGAAATCCAGCAATGTGCTCCCACTGCCCTGAACTATATAGCACATGAAGGAAGCTAATACGATCCCCAAAGATGAACTACTGGCTATTAAAGGTACAGGAAGGTACACATTTTTGAGGACTCTGGCAGTTCCATCCAATAGTCCAGTTGTCTCTACACCGTCATAACTTCACCAGGCATGGAGAGAAGGAGGAAGAGGAAGAGAGAGGGAGAAGAAGAAGCTTTCCTACTAGGTCGAAATCTCTCTCCAACCTTTTGTTTTGAAGGCAATAATGTTCAGAAAGAGGGAGTGGCAGATATGTTTGGATAGGATTGTCTAACCAGATTATACCTTTACAGTACATTCCTATGCATCTTTGCCTGGGGCTGGGAGTGAACATGTTGTACATGGTGGGGTCTACTCTTAAGTAAACAGCATTGCTTCTTGGTGTCTCACCTATAACAGTAAGAATACTAGGAAAGTTGTCTTTGTTATGTATTGAAGTTCTGTTCTGGCCTGTGAATAAACAAGAGCTGTTTGAAGAATCGCTGTGTCATCTGATATGTTCACCCACAACTTAACAGTGGCGACGAGGATGGGATCAATGGACATCAGCGCACAGCCAGACACGGCCACCCTCTGAGATAAGTTGAATCACGGAGCTGAAACACTGAGCGAAATCACGGAGCAGAACCAATTCAGAGCTGACTGTTCTGGCTAGAGCACTGTGTTCCATCCATCGCTTCCACGTCGGCATTGGAACCATGGCTTCACTCGTGCCTCTACCGCCGTTTGCCCCAGCCTCTGAATCATGGGACTCCTATCTCGCTCGGTTCGACTGCTACCTCCAAGCAAATGAGCTTACAAGAGGGTCTGTAGAGAGAAGCTCCGCAACCACTACGCGCCAAAGCCGTCCAAGATTGCTGCCCGCCATGCGTTCTATCACCGGAACCGGGCAGAGGGGGAATCAATCAACAACTACACCGCCGCCCTCCGACAGGCTGCAATGCACTGCGAGTTCCGAGACTTAGACTGATGGATGGATCGAATCGTCTGCGGGGTCCGGGACATCCGTCTGCAATGGCGTCTCCTCGCCAAGCCAGACCTCACGCTGTAGAAAGCCATTGAGGAGGCTGTGGCCTCAGAAGCTGCTGAACTCTCCGCCCAGGAAATCCGCAAGGCCACCCGGACTCTGGTACTGGCCTTCGGTGAGCCAGCAGGGTTTCCAAGCGCCCAGCGTATTTAAAAGACTATGTTCACTGGACAAACTGCTCATGTAAAGCTGTATGGTGAATAGGGTCAATTAATATGCTTATGTGCCTTACTGAAACCAATAAGGGTATTGCTGTATGTAATGGAACCACTATGATTGTAACTAATGCCTTATCTTGGTGGGGAGGGGTGTTATGTATTGAAGTTCTGTTTTTTTTAAAAAAAATAATATTTAGTACTTTTCCAAAAAATTTAAACACTAAAAAAACAAAACAAAAAACAATACAATACAATACATTAAACTAACCAAACCAAACAAAAAAAAAATAAAATAAATCAAACAATTTCATTATCCCATCTTTCATTCACTTATTTCCATGACCTCCTCACACCTCCCTTTTTGTATTCCACTTCTGTTAATTGTTTCAGCAATTCCTTTCCATCTTCCTCTGTTTCCTATCCTATAATTATCTTAACTCATTCTAACCTTATTTTTTCCTTTAATACTCTATTAATCTATTTATACTTAATTCCTTATAACATTTCTGCTAAAGCCATGTAACTTCATTCCAACATTTTTCTAACATTCATTGATTTTACTATGTATTGAAGTTCTGTTCTGGCCTGTGAATAAACAAGAGCTGTTTGAAGAATCGCTGTGTCATCTGATATGTTCACCCACAACTTAACAGTCTTCCCAATATCATACCCTACCATTTTGAATTTCCAAGATTTGCTTGCATCGCCCAATACAGCAGCATAGTTTGCCCTCAGCTCTAACAACAGTACTGCCTGAGAAATGCATAGTAGCTCGTCTGAGGAATTCATTATATAGTCAATTGAAACATACTGACTGGTATTTGATGTGGTTAGCATTGTTCCAGATCTTTGGCTTATTGACATTTGAAGATGTAAACACAATAGGAACTTAATGAACCATCTCATGACTAGTCTCAATTGTCCTTGGACTTAGCGATTAACATTAATATTTACATATGCCATAGGGTCACTGTGGGAATTCATTCACGTTTGCAAAAAGCTTTGGCTGCATTTACGTGGCTTTTCGTATACACAATTGAGCTCAATCCAGGCAAGGCAAAGCAGTCTGATGGCAACAGGAAACATTTAAGCATGTGCACAGCAAAGTCGATGGGCTGTGAAAGTGCTTAAATAAGGTTGGGTTATGCCTTTGCAGTGGTTCCCTCCCTCCCCACATTTACTTACAGAATGTTCTCATTCACATGCCTGATTTTACCCCTAACTTTAGCTGGGAGTGTCTTTAGCAGGTCTAATATGCTGAATATTGTGGGCAGGGGAGATTATAGCCTGCTTCTTTCAGGTGGGCAGTTTGATGCGCATCTGAGAGCCATCTCCAGGAAGGAAACCAAGGGTGATGAGCAAATAACGTTCGTTGGCTTTCAAGAAGCTCTGTGAAATTACTGTTAGAAATATTGTTTAAAAAATATGATGTGATTAAGACTATTTGAGTGCAATATAATATTGGGAAATGTGAGACGAGGATAAAAAATAAACGGAAAATTATCAGAGAAGCTGAGGGAAGTTCTGGAAAAAAGGGTTTAAGTTAAAAATGGATGTATAATTTTGTAAAAATGTTTTTTTATGGAAAATCTAATAAAAATATTTATTAAAAAAAATAATGGGAGGTTTTCAAAGAATGGGAGGTTTTCAAAGAATGAAAAATAAATATAGCAGTTTAAATTCTGTTGCAGCATTCGAGGAACTTCAGTAATAGTTGCAAGGTAGATATAAGAAATTAGATTAAGAATAAATTTAATTATGATAAAAGTGTATTGGCAATAAGTAATATGAATTTGAAATATGGAATAGATGGGAGGTTGGGTCTTTAGTGTTAAGACCAATAGATGTTTTATTGTTTGCTAAGAAAATTATGTGTCTATGGTTATTCTTGTGTGTAATTTGGTATTTGTTTTTTTTCTTTTTTCTTGTTGTATCAATAAAAACTTTATTTAAAAAAAAACCACAGGCTGCAGGTAACCAGATGTATCTGTTGCATCTGGTTACCTGCAGGTGTGGGGAACTTGCAGACCTCCAGGTGTGGTTGCTAGACTACAACTCCCATCATCCCTGACCATTGGCCACAAATGACTCTCCATTATCTGGAGTTGAAAATATAGCCCTTACTGCCACAAAATGCCTGTAGAAATGATGAAAAGGTCACTGGAGGTTTTCTTTGACCAGCTTACTGAATGCTTAGCAGTACTTACAGCATGGGTGTCACGGTCCAGTTCATGGGCGATCGAAGCTCTGGCAGGGGACATCAGGACCGGGGGCAAGATGGCGGGATGGGAGCAGGAACGGGGGTCCAGAAGCCAGGAGTCAGGAGCCAAGGGTGCGAGGGTCAGGAAGCAAGGAGTCACGAAGTCAGGGGTCCAAGGATCAAGAAGCAAGGAGTCAAGAAGTCGAGGTTCAAGGATCAGGAAGCAAGAAGCCAAACGCAGCAAGGCAGGAAGTGTGTTGCTGTGGCAAAGAGCCGAAGGGAAATGCTGACCTTATCTCTCTTCCCAGCTCTTGCCACCAGGTGCTGTGAGTTACCAATCGGCCTCACCTGTGAGGCCGCACCTCGCCTTTCCAGAACAAACTTAGGAAGGCCCCAGTCCTGCACAGTCCTATTGGTCACAGGGCCTGGCTCCTGCGTGCACACCTGACAATGGGGGAAGGTAGGACGCTTCTCAAATTCCCTTAAAAAATAATAATTAAAGGGTAGACGTCAATGAATTGGGAAATGGGAAACCAAGAAGCAAAAGAAAACACACCATTTTGAATTCTCATGCTTGGAACACAGCCTTGATAGAAATATCCCTGCTCTTTGTTTACCAAAGACGCGGTAAACAAGGGACGCGGGTGGCGCTGTGGGTTAAACTACAGAGCCTAGGACTGCCGATCAGAAGGTCGGCGGTTCAGATCCCTGCGACGGGGTGAGCTCCCGTTGCTCGGCCCCTGCTCCTGCCAACCTAGCAGTTCGAAAGCACGTCAAAAGTGCAAGTAGATAAATAGGGATAGTGCAAGTAGTGCAAGTAGATAAATTCACCTCCGGCGGGAAGGCAAACGGCATTTCTGTGCTCTGCTCTGGTTCGCCAGAAGCAGCTTAGTCATGCTGGCCACATGACCCAGAAGCTGTCTGCAGACAAACGCCGGCTCCCTCAGCCTATAGAGCGAGATGAGCGCCGCAACCCCAGAGTCGTCCGCGACTGGACCTAATGGTCAGGGTTCCCTTTACCTTGTTTACCAAGATAGAAGCCAGTGACAAGATTTGGAGAACGGTGGGGGGAAGAAACCATAATGGTCGTCATAAAGAATTAGACTTTTAGAAAGAGATGCAAATTTAAGCTCTAGTGCAGAATGCCAGTGTTCTCTCACATTCTTAAAGCAGTTCAAAAATGCGCTCTCTCTCTCTCTGTGTATAAAACACATTTGTACTTGTTACACCTCTCAGGATTAGGTTCAGAGCTTGTGCTAAGGAGGAGCTCTCCATCATATTGAGAGACAAGTCCTCTGAGGAGAACAAGTGGCCTCTAAAGGATAGAGTCAAGAAGACTCAGGGAAAACAAAACTGACTCAATGCATTTCTGACTCAATGCCTTCTCTGAACCGAGTTCTTTGGAGATGGAACATTGAGACCCAAAGCGTATATACTGGTGCAGATAGAACTGAGCGTTTATCTAGAGATATTTCCCTTGCTTGTCACACTGTTATTCAATTATTGACACTTCGCTGGCCAAGTATGACTGATGGTTCAGTATTGTGGGGAGGGCAGTCCACAAAAGGTCAGCTCAAGGGGAATCTGTCTAAGCCTTTTTATTATTTTCCGGGTGTCTCCTGTAGAAACCTTCCAAAGACACAAAGCGGCATGTTCTCCTCCATGGACACGCCTGCTATCTTCATGTCGCAGAATCACATTTCCTTATCTCCACTTGTTAATTAAGGGGAAAGGGTGATAAAACTAGCCCGTGTAGTACAGAGACACAGAGGCACATAATGGAATCTGCGTGCTTCACAATGTGATGCCTCAGAGCATCTCCAAGAAGCTGATAAAGAGGATATCCAAAATATATCGATGAGAATTCATGTGGGTTATTCCCAAGTATTAATTAGAGCTCTGGCAGATCGCATATACCTCCAAGGGTGGGAGAGGGGGAAGACTTGTGAAACAGGAGCAGCTTTTTCTGTAATTCACAAACTAGCACTTTCCATGACTAAATCTTGTGCGCTATGGGAGGGGGAAAGGAAAATTCGGTGCTGAGAGTAATTTGGATTGGAAATAAGATGGCAGATACGATATCTGCCATTCTAGAAATCAAGGGTGGGGATATCCCTGCCTTCCGGGTTGGATTGCAAGTCCTGCCATCCCTGATGCCCTGCTGGCTATGATTGATGGCAGCTGGAATCCAACCACACCAGGAGGGCCACAGGTTCCCTACACCTGGTATAAATCTATGGTTTTTAACTACATTTAGAATAATGTAAGCGGTTCTGGGCATCCCAGGTAAGAAAGGCAGGGGACAGATATTTTAGAGCTGGGGAAATGCTAGAAAATGGCAAGTAAAAGGATAGCAAGCCCAATCCAAATAGCTTGATCAAAACTACCACCTGCCAGCCCAAAATCCAAAGTTGCTATTTGTAAATTGGACCATAAAGAAGGCTGATCGCCGAAGAATTGATGCTTTTGAATTATGGTGCTGGAGGAGACTCTTGAGGGTCCCATGGACTGCAAGAAGATCAAACCTCTCCATTCTTAAGGAAATTAGCCCTGAGTGCTCAGTGGAAGGACAGATCCTGAAGCTGAGGCTCCAGTACTTTGGCCACCTCATGAGAAGAGAAGACTCCCTGGAAAAGACCCTGATGTTGGGCAAGATGGAGGGCACAAGGAGAAGGGGACGACAGAGGACGAGATGGTTGGACAGTGTTCTCGAAGCTACCAGCACGAGTTTGACTAAACTGCGAGAGGCAGTGGAAGACAGGAGTGCCTGGCGTGCTCTGGTCCATGGGGTCATGAAGAGTCGGACACGACTAAACGACTAAACAACAACAACAATTTGTAAATGGAGCGAAACTCCTCATTAGTACTAATACAGGTTGCTTTCCTGATGCAAACAACAGTTGGGCGTCTATGGGTGTATTTCTGGTCCCTCTCTGGTCCCTAAGGTTCTAATGTTGTTTGGGTTCCCTTTCACCTACTATTTACATTTTTAAAAAACATGCACTTATTATATATATATTATATTAATAGAATAAAATATAAAATATATTATATTATATTATATTATATTATATTATATTATATTATATATTATATTATATTATATTATATTATATTATATTATATTGCAGCATCAGGATGGGTGGGGTATAAAATTATTATTATTATTATTATTATTATTATTATCATTATTACAGCTAGCTATACCCTGGGAACCAGTTGGTTAGAGACACTCAATCAACTGTTACCATATTAAGAGTCCACATCAATCTAGTGGGGCTATTGATTTTTTTTTGGTTCCGTTCTTCTTTTTGCTACGTATTTTGGGTTCTCATTTTGTATTTTTATGTTGTTTACCACCCTGTGTTCTTCAGATGAAAAGTAATATACTAATTCAACAAATAAATAAGTGAAAAATAAAATGGATTATAATATTGTCAGTAGGCCTAGGGCGGACAAAAGGAAGTAAAATGGCAAAATAGCACTAATTAAAAATAAAATTAATGAACAATTGCTCTAGCTGCAAAGAGGAAAGCAGTAATTAACACCTCCCCCCTCAGGGAACAGGAACTCATTAAGGGCAATTCAGGGATATCATAGCCACAGGACTGAGTAGGAAACAAAAATGAAGCACTCTCATAGAAAGAGGCAAGGACAAAGCTACTAATTAAAGGGACTATAGCCCTGAAAAGTCTCAGGAGAATTTTGCTAACCAACATTGGGCAGGCCATTGTTGCAATTGTAAGTCATACATTATTATTTTTTAAATAAAGGGGAACATTGGAATTCAATGGGTGGTAATTATAACATCTGGATTGTCCATATAATCTGAGCAAATGAAGAATTCAGTTGCAGACTAAATGACTAGTATGGAAGAAGCCCTGGTACGATCACAACAAAAGGATAACAACTTTGCATTATTGTAATGAGTATGGGTTGCTCGTGCGTAAGTTGCCGCCTCTCCTGGCTATGTTGCCTTGTTTAAACCTTTCTGTCTGGACAGCCCTTCACTTCGTGGCTGCCTCAGTCGCTAGCAGAATCCGTCAGTGGGCGTTTCTTAAACCTTTTCCAACATAAAAGTTGTTTGATGCCAAGTCTCCTCCTACTCTCCCTGCGCAGAAGCCTTCTGCGCAGGGAGGGCGTGGGTAGCGGAGGACCCGTGCTCTCCCCGCTGGTGTCCGGTGAAGAGTCCGGGAGCCCTCTCGCCGATTCCCCCATCTGCCCCCCTTTATCTCTGATTTGCTTTCCCATCTGCTGAGCTGCCTCTCTCCCTGCTGGGCCCTTCTCCAGCATCATTTGAGAGCCTCCCCTCCGCCTCTAGCTCCGATGTCAGTTCCCTGACAATTATAATGCCAAAACTCATGCTTGTGCACAGTTTATCAGAAACTGCCTTATTTCTGGCTCTTCTCTACTACCACGAGGTCTCCAAACACATTCCTTCTAAAAATTAAAAACTTGGGGTTGTCAGGCTTCCGTGACAAAGCTCAAATTTTTGTTCGAATCCATTTTTGTACGTTGTGGTCCATTCACAGTATGCTGATTCCAAATAAACCTTAATAAACTGGCCTACAACATTACAACATGGGTTCATTTTTAAAAGATCTAAATCCACATTCAGCATCTAACACCTACACACACATGATGAGACTGGAGTGAGGGCTTACCTCCATCCAGAAAATTAAAGGCTCTGCCCTTCTGTGATTCACACATATGTGTTTTTTCTCACATCTCCCTATTCTTGCATTTTAAGGCACCCTGCTAGTCTCTGATGATTCATCTTCCCTTTATAACTCAGTCCCACGTGGTGCTTTCCTGAAACCCGCTGTTGTTACAAGAGAGGCATGAAATATAAAGGAACCAAAGGATACATCAGGATCTTCCATTGATTTTAGTGGAGCATCTGACATTATTAAAACTCTTAGCTGAAATCCAGATCCTAAGCAGAACATCCAGCCTTCTGATGATGATCCAACATATTCCTTTATTTTTCATTAGGGTACAACATGACACAATAGACAACAGAGTGGTTTAACAATCAAGCCCTCCTCCTAGGGCACTCTGAAAATTGTAGCTCTGTGAGGGGAATAGTGGACTCCAAATGACTCCTTTAACAAACTACAGCTCCCAGGATTCTTTGGGGGAAGCCATGATTGTTTAAAGTGATACGATACAGATTTTAATGCATAGGGCAGGTGGGGCCTTTGTTTGATAGCCCTAAATCGCATTGGCTCAGTATACCTGAAGGAGCGTCTCCACCCCCATCATTCTGCCCAGACACTGAGGTCCAGCTCCAAGGGCCTTCTGGCAGTTCCCTCACTGTGAGAAGCCAAGTTACAGGGAACCAGGCAGAGGACCTTCTCGGTAGTGGCACCCACCCTGTGGAACAGTCTCCCATCAGATGTCAAGGAAATAAACAACTATCTGACTCTTAGAAGGCAGCCCTGTTTAGGGAAGTTTTTAATGTTTGATACTACATTGTATTTTTAATATTTTGTTGGAAGCCACACAGAGTGGCTGGGGAGACCCAGCCAGATGGACGGGGTATAATTATTATTATTATTATTATTATTATTAGATACAGGAAACAGAAAATTGTGTGTTGCGGTATACCACAGATGTTGAACAGTCTTCTTGCAAAAATATTCCCCAACGGCATCCTGACATGGAACCCGCTAACTCTATTCTAGGGTTATCTCTCATCCAAAAACAAAACAAAACAAAACAAAAATCCAGGACCTCCCCTTACCCATAACACACACACACACACACACACACTCACTTTGAAGCCTGAGAGTGCTCAGTCTCAGAAGCAAGAACTGGTGTGCTCAGCCTACAATGTGTTTAAATCTGACTTAATGGTTTTGAATATTGTATTGTTAAATTGTTGTAACCCACCCTTGGACATTATGGTGAAGGGCAGAGAAGAAATCTTAAAACAACAACACCAACAACAAATACCATTGTCAGGGAAGTGCCATCAGCACAGAGGCAAGAGGTGGAAGGGCAGTTGGGTTACAGGGAGCCTCCGAAGATCGTGAGAAGCAGCTCTTCCTCCGGCGAAGGGATGCAGGGCTCGGAAGATGCAAGAGAGAGCCGCAAAACCGAGCCTGAGCAAAGAGGGGGGGAGGCAGGTCGCCCATCGCCCACGCCCTCTCTGTGCAGTCGGTTTACGCGCAGAGGGGGGGTGTAGGATGGGGGTCAAAAGACTGCTATGCTGGGGAAAGTTTAAGGACCGCCCACTCCCAGATTCTGCTAGCGACTGAGCAGACATGGAATTGAGACACTCTGCACTGTAAATGTTTTGCACCGATAATAACGCCTTGAAAAGACCAGTGGGAATCTTGCCTGTTCGCTCTCGAGCAACCACGCCGGCATACATAACAACTGTGTACAGTGGTACCTCGGTTTCCGAACGTCTCCGTTAACAAACGTTTCGGAACTCGAACACCATAAACCCGGAAGTAAATGCTTCGGTTTTCGAACATGACTTGGAAGTCGAACTATCTTCCGGAACGGATTACGTTCGAAAACTGAGGTACCACTGTACAACCCATGTGAAGGAACGTATACTATCCTGCCCTAGGGTAAAGGTAAAGGTAAAGGGACCCCTGACCATTAGATCCAGTCGTGACCGACTCTGGGGTTGCGGCGCTCATCTCACTTTATTGGCCGAGGGTCACATGGCCAGCATGACTAAGCCGCTTCTGGCGAACCAGAGCAGTGCACGGAAACGCCGTTTACCTTCCCGCCAGAGCGGTACCTATTTATCTACTTGCACTTTGACGTGCTTTTGAACTTCTAGGTGGGCAGGAGCTGGGACTGAACAATGAGAGCTCACCCCATCGCGGGGATTCGAACAGCCGACCTTCCGATTGGCAAGCCCTAGGCTCTGTGGTTTAACCCACAGCGCCACCTGCACCCCGCTGCCCTAGGTTAGGTTGGGGTTTTTGATTTCCTAGCAGAAGAAGAAGAAGAAGAAGAGTTTGGATTTGATATCCCGCCTTTCACTCCCTTTAAGGAGTCTCAAAGCGGCTAACATTCTCCTTTTTCCTTCCTCCCCCACAACAAACACTCTGTGAGGTGAGTGGAGCTGAGAGACTTCAGAGAAGTGTTACTGGCCCAAGGTCACCCAGCAGCTGCATGTGGAGGAGCGGAGACGCGAACCCAGTTCCCCAGATTACGAGACTACCGCTCTTAACCACTACACCACACTGGCTCTACACGAAAGTGATATCCATATTGAAACTTGCTGTGTATGAGGCAGCCCTAATGGAGAAGCACTGGGGAGGGAAGAAAAGTCTTGGATCCAATATTCTCTCCCTGCCCCTCTTTTCCCGCAGCTTTGAAACCTTTGAGTGAATTGCTTTGGTTTTATCTAAAATTCACCCATTTCAACCAATAGAACGGTTGGATTAAGAAAGTGAAAATGTTTACATTGCTATCTTTATTCCTTCGGTCAGCTCACATGTTTTCCTACATCGGAATACATAGGTTGATGGAGGGAGAGGAAGAAAACACACACACTCTGATACAGTGTCATGTGTGAATCTCGTATTTTTAATCAACTTATTGGAGCGACTGCCAGGCTTAAAACTAAATTAATTGATTTGTACTTAATTCTGTTCTATTTCTCATCTCATTCGGTATGCATTTCCCTTGGTTTGTATTGTGATGACCAATGGTTTTAAGCAATAAATCTGAACAGAAATATTACTTATATAAGATAATTATAGATTTATTTTTTTACACCCCCTCGAGGTGGATTTCAACAGGTTGAGAGCAAACTATGCGATCAATAATCAGATTTAATCCTAAATCACCATGGAAACAGCACCCCCCCCTGAAAACTAGAATGCAAATAAACCAGCATTGTTTCCCGTCGCTTCTGAATGCAGGAGTGAAACTCATGTGGTGTGTGCCTTTTCCCTACACGAAAGTGATATCCATATTGAAACTTGCTGTGTATGAGGCAGCCCTAATGGAGAAAAAATATTTGATAGAGGCTGCTAAAATCCTGTTTCATTAAAATAAGTCTCAGACTCACCCACGATTTAAAACATCCAGGAGCTCACCTGCAGAGTGAGAGTCTAATCCCATTTCTACTTGAATAAAATCAGCGACAGCCTCATTGAACTCAGGAGCTAATGAAATCAGGATCCAGCCTTGCGAAGACAAAAGGACCGGAGGTGACTGCGGACTAAACCAATAAGAAAAGGGCACGATTGATAAAGGAAAGAAAAATGGTGGTTAGGGTAAAGTAGAAAAGAAAGAAATGGACATCCAAGGGGAGCCAAAGGAAGGAGGGGCAGAAGATTAGTAACATATGGCAGGTATCAATTATTTACCATGTATGTACAGTTAAGAAAGCTCACATCCCGTCGGGACTGGGCCTGCATCCTAAAAAGCTGAACTGTGTTTTAAAAGCAGAGGGAAAGGAAGATTAGCAATCGAAAAGTTCTGCAATTAATTAACATCTCCAGGGCACAACCGTGTTGGAAAAAGCCCCTTCAACCCTTTGTGAATCGGGTTGCAAGAGAAATCGGCTGCACCAAGTTACAGCAGGACCCATCAGATGCCTGAGAATGATGGGGACAAAATGTAATGATATCCAATATTAGTCATTGAGCAAACCCATTAAAAAGAGCTGACTTGATTTCAGTGGGTCTGCTCTGAGTAAGACTTAGGTGGAGAACACCCTGTATGTCATCTTTCATCTTCTGCTCCTGAATAGAAGGAACCAAGGGCTTTCCTTTTAAATCAAATAAAATGCAAGTGAAAATAGCCCGTTTACTTACTGGTAAATCCAAGGTTTGCTGTTAATCCCTTTGCCTCCATTTCAGAACCACAGTGCAATTACTCTAGAATTTCCAATCGGCATTCATTACTCTTTTCCCACCTCACCAGACGGAAAAGTCTGTCTTCTTCTTGGGCGATCACTCGTAGCCAAGTAAGATCATCTTCCATGAACACGGTCTTAACAGTGAGTCCGTAAGTGACTGTGGAGGCCAATTCTGGATCCATATGTCCTTCCACAGTGGGGACATGGATTTCCAGACGGGAGTTGATCACGGTGAGGATTTGCCAAACGTGCCTTCCTTTTAGCATGTTTCTCCCTTTCATCTTGAGTTCAAGCATCTTCAAAGTCCATTTCACCTTTGGAAAAGGTTGTTCTCCAATTGGAGCACTCGCAGGCCAGTGTTTCCCAGTTGTCGGTGTTTATACTACATTTTTTAATATTTGCCTTGAGAGAGTCTTTAAACCTCTTTTGTTGACCACCAGCATTACGCTTTCCATTTTAGTTTGGAATAGAGTAGTTGCTTTGGAAGACGATAATCAGGCATCCCAACAACATGACCAGTATAACGATGTTGATGTTGAAGAATCATTGCTTCAACACTGGTGATCTTTTGCTTCTTCCAGTACGCTGGCATTAGTTCGCCTGTCTTCCCAAGCGATGTGTAATTTTTTTTGGAGACACCGTTGATGGAATCTTTCGAGGAGTTGGAGATGGCGTTTATAAGTGGTCCATGCTTCACAAGCATACAATAAGGTTGGTAGTGCAATAGCTTTGTAAACGAGCATTTTGGTTTCCCTGCGAATGTCCCGGTCCTCAAACACCTCAATTGGGAGAAAGCTGCACTCACAGAGCTCAGGCAATGCTGGATTTTGGCATCAATGTCGGTCCTTGTGGAAAGATAACTGCCCAGGTAGAAGAAATGATTGACACTTTCCAACGTTACACCATTTCTCCTTTCCCACCTCCCCAGTTGGAAAAGGCTGTATGCAATATTCAAGAGATAAACAGAAGCTAATTGGTATCCATTAACGAGGGTGGCCATGTGACCTGTTTCACAGTCCTTTATTTGAATGTGTCCTCAATCTGCCCATCCAAAGTCTGGTTTAAAGATAAACACTGAGAAGGGAGTGCAGGACAGGCCTTCAAGCTGTCGTCAGCACTTAGCACCTGGGCAGCAGGTGGAACACGCAGACAGGTCACCTGTTCACATTCTCCCCCACTACATTGAGATGTATGACATTTCTACTTAAATTTACAGTGACTGTTTCTGAATTTGCATCTGCACGTATAAATTAGTACACACAGATGTTATGCAAAACTCTGTTTTTTTGGTGACACCTTTCCTCTTTCTAAGAGATGCGGGTGGCGCTGTGGCTTAAACCACAGAGCCTAGGACTTGCCGATCAGAAGGTCAGCGGTTCAAATCCCCGCGATGGGGTGAGCTCCTGTTGCTCGGTCCCAGCTCCTGCCAACCAAGCAGTTCGAAAGCACACCAGTGCAAGTAGATAAATAGGTACCACTCCTGCGGGAAGGTAAACGGCATTTCCATGCGCTGCTCTGGTTCGCCAGAAGCGGCTTAGTCATGCTGGCCACATGACCTGGAAGCTGTACGCCGGCTCCCTCGGCCAATAAAGCGAGATGAGCGCCACAACCCCAGAGTCGGTCACGACTGGACCTAATGGTCAGGGGTCCCTTTACCTTTACCTTCCTCTTTCTAGGTGATGCCACCCTCTTACTAAACTGCCATACCAAACAGGAGCAGCCTGGCCATTTCAGCAAACCCAGCCCATTGTGAAGTCAGCGATGAGTTCCATAGCTGGGAGACTGTGGATGAGCAAGGAGGTGTTGCGGTCCTCTGACAACACCAAGAATCTCTGGGGTTGTTCCGGTCAGGGATGCCCAGAGAGGGGTTGAGGTGTCCAGAAGAGGCCAAGCAATGCTTTAGAACTCAGTCCAAATATTAAGAGGTGGAATCAGGCCTTGGATAAAAACGGAGTCCCATATGGGATTAATAATAATAATAACAACAATATATTTGCATCTACTCATGCCAAGTTCACAGTCAAGGTTGGCTTCAGGTTTGGGGGGAGATATCACCAAAGTTTCTCTGATGCCAGACCTTCCAAGTGCCCCTATTTTCCAGGAGTGTCCCTAATTTAGAGAAGCCATTCTGGTTCCTGATTTGATCCTGGAATGTCCCGCTTTTCCTAAGGATGTCCCTATTTTCACTGGAGAAATGTTGGTGGGCATGGAGTTACCCAACCCCCAATCCATCTGAAGGCAGCCCAGTATAGAGAAGTTTTTACACGACCCCGTTCATGTCTCCCATCATTATGATGTTGTTGTAATCCAGATATTCCAGCATTGTCCCCTGCAGCTTCTTGTAAAATTCCGATTTCCCTTCATTAGGTGCATAGATTCCTAATATCAACAGTTTCTCTCCTTGATATTGTATCTCAATGGCCAAAATTCTTCCATGTTCATCTTTAAATAAGAATTTAGGTGACAGGCTCTCTTTGCATATATCACCACGCCTCTCTTCTTAACTTTGTCCGACGAAACAAATTCCTGGCCCAATCTTTTATTTATTAACACTTTTCTGTGGAGCCTCGTCACATGTGTTTCTTGTAAACAGATAATGTCCAATTGTTCTTTTTTAATATATGAAATATTTTCTTCCTTTTTCCGGAATGTTACAACCATTAATGTTCCAACTCAGCAATTGCAGAGACATCCTGGATCTATCTGGTTATTTCTCCAGGGGTGGTGTCTTCTCTGGATCTTCAGGTTCCCCAGGTGCTGGTGTTAATGCTGGCTTTGCCCCAGGCCCAGAAGGTAATTCAATTCCTTTTTGAAGGTCCTCTCCGTATGTAGCCACGTATGTTAGTGTCAACTAACATGGACAAGTCACAAAGTCAAAATGTAACAAAAGACGGCAGACTACCTAAAACCTTTTTTGAAATGACTGACAATATGGATTTGATTGACATTTGGAGGACAAAGAACCCACTAGGTAGAGAAGGAACATTCTTTTCTGAAGCCCAACTGACCTGGACAAGAATCGACCAAATATGGATTTCCAGAGGCCTGGCACCTAAGGTCAGAAAAGTGGAAATCTGCCCAAAGACCTGCTCTGACCATAATGCAGTAAAGATGGATATGACACTACTACCAACTGGATCCTTTAGATGGAAGATGAATGACAGTTTGTTTAGAGATCAGGAAATTACCAAGAAGGCCCAAAAAGTTTTGAAGGACTATTTTGAGATAAACATGAACAATTCGGTGGAAAAAAGAATTGTCTGGGACGCAAGTAAAGCTGTGATGAGGGGATTCTTGATACAACAGAATGTAGTAAAGAAAAGAACACAAAATGAGAAAAAAGATAAGATCTTGGACAAATTAAAAGAATTAGAGAAGAAACTAAGAGCGAATCCAAAGTCACAGCCAACTCTGAGAGAAATTAAACTCTATCAAACACAATATTCCAAATTGATAAATCAGGAAATTGAATGGAAGGTTAAATTAATGAAACAAAAAACGTTTGAGTCGGCGAATAAATGTGGAAAACTGCTAGCTTGGCAGTTGAAGAGAAGGCAAAGATTAAACACGGTTACAAACTTAGAGGTTGATGGAAAAAACATTCAGAATCCAGTGGATATTAGAAAGTGTTTCCAGAGATATTTTAAAAAATTATACACCCAAGGGCCGCAAGACGAAGTCGAGATCAAACAATTTTTGGCAAAAAATGGATTATCTAAATTGTCACAAGAAAACAGGACAATCCTGAACTCTAAAATAACACGACAGGAGATTGAACAAGCTATTCAGAACATGCAACTTGGCAAATCTCCAGGGCCAGATGGGCTGACCTCCAAGTATTATAAGACATTAAAAGACTATTTGATACAACCCTTGATGGAGGTCAGCAATGAAATTATGGAGGGGAAGAGGGCACCGGATTCGTGGAAGGAAGCGTTCATCACATTAATACCAAAGTCAGAAGCTGAAAAGACACAACTGAAGAACTACCGTCCCATCTCTCTTTTAAATGTGGATTACAAAATATTTGCAGATATTTTGGCAAGTAGATTCAAAAAGTATTAAATGAAGTAATTCATAAGGACCAGGCCGGTTTTCTCCCAGGTAGACATCTGTTTGCTAACACAAGGAACATTATTGACATCTTGGAACTTCTGCAAACAGATATAAATACAAAAGCAGTTTTAATTTTTATAGATGCGGAGAAGGCCTTTGACAATATTTCCTGGAAATTTATGATGGGAAATTTAAAAGAGATGGGAGTGGGACGGGGTTTTGAGAATGGGATTGAGGCGATATATTCAGAACAGAAAGCTAAACTGATAGTTAATAATGTGGTCACAGAAGAGTTCAAAATTGAAAAAGGGACACGACAAGGTTGCCCTATCTCCCTTTGTTATTTATTTCGGTTCTGGAAGTGCTACTGAACATGATTAGAGGGGATCGGTTGGTGGAAGGAATTCAGGTTGGTCAGAAACAATATAAACTAAAAGCTTTTGCAGATGACCTGGTTTTGACCCTGCAGAAGCCAGAGCCCAGTATGAAAAGAGTATTACAATTGATTAATGATTTTGGTCGGGTGGCGGGATTTAAATTAAATAAACAGAAAACTAAGGTTTTGGGGAAAAATTTGACTGATACAGAGTCAGAACGGTTTCAGAATGAGACGGAACTTAATGTGGTTAAAAAGTAAAATA